GACCCTGAAAGGGTTAAAAAGTAAAATACACACACACACACTTATTATTTACCTCAAAATATTTGTAGTCTTAATGTAGGGCAAAAGGCGAGTAGTATTTACTCTCAAGGAGTCAGGTGTGGTAGCCCTCCTGGCCTGCCCACCCACACATACTATACTACGATCCTTAAAGTTCCCTAGAGTGATAAAATGCATATACAGTAGACGTATGACTTACCTTAACCCTTTGACTATTTTGGTCATTTATACAAGTCTTACGAGGCAGTGTTTCGGACGTATATATACTCAATTCTAGCGGCTTCATATCAAGCAGGAGAAAGCTGGTAGGCCCACATGTGAGAGAATAGGTCTGTGGTCAGTGTGCACTACATAAAAAAATCCTGCAGCACGCAGTGCATAATGAGAAAAAAAACTGACCGTTTTTTTGGATTAAAACGCCGACTTTGAGGTGTATTTTTGTATAGTATTTATCATTGTATTCTCGTTTTCATGGTCTCGCGTGATAAAATGGAAAACATATTGCAGAAATAGAGATGATTTTGATTAGTTTCATGATGAAAACAACCTTGAAATTGAGCTCAAATTAGTGGAAATGTTCGATTTTTACCAATGTTCAAGAGTCGGCAAATCACACCACATTGCCAATACACATCAACTGGGATTCTAATATTCTTTCACTAGTGCACTGATATTATTTATACCATTTTTATAATAATGTAGTAGTCTGCATAACAGTAAATTTTGTATTTTTTGTATGAATAAAAAAATCAATATAGAAATCAATAGTAATATAAGAGGGGCCTAGAGACGTGACTAATGAACAGAGGATATGTTATTTTAGTGCCAAGAATGTCTACATGGTTTATTTTGGACTCTATTTTGAAATTGGCATCTTTTTTAATTTGTGTGAAATTGGCCAAATTGCCAATTTCTGACCACTTTATTGGTTAGTTCAAATTGGTAAATGGGCAGTTTCTTGTATGCAGTCAATAGAAAAAAAATGGAGTTCTGAAGAAATAGCTATGAGTTTGGTCAACTGGAACAACAGAATTGGCCAAAAACAGGGCTCAAAGTTGGTGAAATCGCCGATGCATATATGTAGCCGAGACCACTAACTTCACAGCAGCGTAATTCCATGAGTTTTCAACCAAATTTCGTACTTTTGGTGTCATTACCATCGGGAAAAGATTCTCTATCATTTAATAAGATTTTTTTTTTTTTTCCAAATTTTTCGATATAGAATGACAGTTTCAGAAAGTGGCTTGCGACAGTAAAAGGGTGAGAATATTTGTAGTCTCATTGGTCTTAATGTAGGGTGAGAGGTGAAAAGTATTCGTAGAAAGTCGTGTGGGAGGTATGGCATCCTGCCTGGCCACTTATACCTACTACGACATTAACCCTTCGACTGTTTTGGTCGTATATATACGTTTTACGACATACCGTGTTTGACGTATATATACATACTCATAAATTCTAGTGGCTTCAAATCAAGCAGGAGAAAGCTGGTAGGCCCACATGTGAGAGAATGGGTCTGTGTGGTCAGTGTGCACCATATAAAAAAAATCCTGAAGCACGCAGTGCATAATGAGAAAAAAAATCCGACTTTTTTTTTTTTAATTAAAATTCAGAGTTTGTGGTCTATTTTCATATAGTATTTATGGTTGTATTCTTGTTTTCTTGGTCTTGTTTGATAGAATGGAAAACATATTATAGAAATAGAGGTGATTTTGATTGGTTTTATTATAAAAAGAACCTGAAAATGGAGCTAAAAGTAGGGGAAATGTTTGATTTTTGCCAGTGTTCAAAAGTAAACAAATGATGCCCTTGTCCAATAAATGTCCAACTAGCCATTCTAATATGCAGTCATGAATGGGTTGATGTTATTTATACAGTTATTACAGCATTGCAGTAGTCTGCATAATAGTAAGTCTAATATTTTTTGTTTGAATAAAAATTCAAAATAGAAAGCAAGAGTAATATCAGAGGGGCCTGGAGACGTGACTGATGAACAAAGAAAATGTTATTTTAGAGCCAGGAATGTCTGCATTGTTCATTTTGGACCTTATTTTGAAATTGTCATATTTTTTAATTTTCGTGAAATTGACCAAATTACAAATTTCTGACCACGTTATTGGGTAGTTGAAATCAATAAATGGGCAGTTTCTTGTACTCAATCAATAGAAAAAACGGAGTTCTAAAGAAATAGCTATGACTTTGGTCGACTGGAACAAAGGAATTAGCCGAAAATAGGGCTCAAATTGGGCGAAATTGCCAGTTTGTAAATATCGCCGAGGTCACTAATTTTGCGACACCAGGAGGCACCTCAGGATTGGAGGTTGCGACAGTCAAGGGGTTAAGCTCCCTAGAGCGATAAAATGCATATATAGTGCATTCATTAATTACCTTAAAATATTTGTAGTCTTAATGTAGGGTGAGAGGTGAGTTTTGTATGAAGTCAGGTTGGGAAGTATGGGTAGCCAGGAAGGGCAGCCCTCCCCACCCCACCCACACGTAATGTATACAAACCAGATGAACGCTTCTGGTTTTTATCACAAGTCCTACAAGTTGCCTGGCTACCACAAGTCCTACAAGTTGCCTGGCTACCACAAGTCCTACAAGTTGCCTGGCTGCCACAAGTCCTACAAGTTGCCTGGCTACCACAAGTCCTACAAGTTGCCTTGCTACCACAAGCCATACAAGTTGCCTGGCTACCACATCTCATATTTATGCTAATTCTACTCTGGGGTGTATTTAGATGGATTAAGCAAAATGTCTATATTAACATTTTATAAGATATTTAATACTCCTTAGAGTGATTATTATTGTGTTATTATTATCAGTAATATGGAGTCTTCAAGACTAATACACTCTTAGTGATTTTAATGTGTACCTGTATGCCAGCACAGTGTCTAAGTTTACTTAGGTACAGGTACACATATGTATGATTATCAGTTATAATAATAATGTAGGTATGTAGTCTGCCTGGGCTACATACCTACACCTACCTACATAGCTACACGATATTTAATGTGGCCCAGAGCCATATTTTTACCATCGACATACCATGTTCATTGCGTTTAATTGTTTCTAACAACTACCTTTAGTTGTCATCATAAACAAAGGGAGAAGTAATGAATAATTCATGCCGAGAATTGTAAAGAAAAGCATTATGTATTAAGAGGACTGACGTAATGTTTTCCCTTCACCCAGCTACCACACCTCCATAGTATATAAACAAAATGTTTATGTGTTATGTAACGTGTTTCTTATATAATTTTGAAGAAAATATCATAGATTGATTAATGAAAATGTCTATATTGACGTAAAATTAGACTAATGTGCCCAAGAGTGATTATTATTACATAATAGAGAGATGTGCTCATGGAGAATGTAAACAAACCGGGTGGCCCACGCCGTATTTGAAAGACCACTTGCCATATAGAAAGTTCTGGTCATAATTTGAGATCGCCGTATTAGCGGAACGCTGTAAAGCAAAACGCCAAAAAGTGAGGCCCTGCTGTATGCATTATGCATTATATTGGTCTCGCAGGACACAAAAGATACTTCAAAAAATGAAATATTAAAAATAAATGAAAAAAGTACAATAAAAGTAAAAATAATATTACCGAGTGAGCGATATTTACTGATGTTGCCGTAAGCTGTTATCTTTGTCAACTCTATGCCTCTATATCGCAGTTACTAATGATCACATGTTTTTTTTTTTTTGTTTTGTTTTAAAACACGAAAAATATTCTTAAGATTTTGGTAAGAAAAATAATTTTTTTTTCTAATATTTTTCTAATCACAAGAGTTTAGAATCAGGGGGTACCAGCAGTCATAGGGTTAATATGCCCTTATCTCACCTGTGGTATTTCTGTTTGGGGATTGACCACAGCCAATCACCTTAAACCTTTAATAACCCTACAAAAAGCTGTGGTGCAGATGATCACAAACTCCAGTGCCAGACAAAACTCCCCGCCACTCTTCAAGAGCTTGAACTCGCTTAATGTACAAAAAACACACAGGTATTATTGTGCGTATTATATATACAGAACATTAAAATCCAATATGAACCTCCACTCAAACTTCTAGACAACTAAAACAGAACTCACAGGCATGACACGAGGAACAAAACACTTTTTGACATCCTTTGTGTGTCTCACACTATGCAAAAATGCAGTGCACACAAAGGTCCCGAAGATCTGGAACTCTTTGGCTGAGAAAGCAAGAGGTCCCCTGCCCACAAATCAATTTAGGACTATACTCAAGGATAACAAAAAAATTAGGTAACAAAAGATTGGCTATCAGATTGGAGGGAGAGAGTATGGAGGAGGTGAATGTATTCAGATATTTCGGAGTGTACGTGTCAGCAGATGGGTCTATGAATGATGAGGTGAATCATAGAACTGATGAGGGGAAAAGGTGAGTGGTGCACTTTGGAGTCTGTGGAGACAAAGAACTTTGAAAGTGAATTATATTGTTAATTTTATTGTTAGGAATGGTTGCACAGTCAGTTTTTTTTACAAAATTATATATTTATGTACTGGTCTGTCAATTCACAAGAAAACATATATAGTAATATATTTTTTTTTTTTTTTTTTTTTTTTTTTTTGTAGAAAGATCAGTTGTGGGGTGTTTCAGCTTGTTTGTCAGATTGACTAAAAAGGCATTGTTTGCACCATATGTAATCTTTTGATTGATATCCAAGATTGTACAATAGGGTGTATAATAATTATAAGAAACTTTTGGTGTGATGTGTGTAGCAGATAAGAGTATATGTAAACTGTATGCAAGACTTTGTATAAAACCTGTGTCCTTTCTGTGAGTATGGCATGAAATACACTTCTTGTGCTAAATTATAATCTCATTGCTTTATAGTGTATCCATGTACTATATTATTTTTTTGTATATAGTAGTGTATTAATTGGATTAAGCCTCATTCTTTTCATTCTCATTCTCAACTCAATATGAGATGTATTTTTTTTAATTACTTGCCTCAGAGGTGCAGTTTTGGCTTTTCTTCCTGGGCTACCAGAGATTGAAAACTACATGAATTTCTTAAGCAGTGAATCTTCAAGATTTCGGTGAGTTCTTTCTGTAATTTATACCTGAAATATTTATTCAATGTTTATTTATAGGAAATATATTAAAAGAATTTTTGTACTATTTAACCCTTTCACTGTCCAGACTCCTAAAATTAATATTGTTGTGTAGAATTTTTTTTTTAATCTATTGAAATGGTAGAAAAATTTTTTCTGAAGGTAATGACACTAAAAAATACAAAATTTGATGGAAAACTTAAGGAATTATGCAGGCACAAAGTTAGCTGTCTCATTACAGTTTACGCATCAACGATTTTGCTCATATTCAGTCCTATTTTCAGCAAATTCCAGTGTTCTGTTTGACCAAATTCTTAGCTATTTTGCTAGTATGCCTTTCATTCTGTCGATTGAGCACAAGAAACTGCCCATTCAAATATTTCAACTATCCTATAAAGTGCATAAATTAGTAATTTGGCCAGTTTTGCAAAAAAAAAAAAAAAGGCCAAATTGCAAAGTGCAAAATAAACAACGTAGACATTGCTGGCACTATAAAATTTTCTGTGTTGATTAGTCACAGCCCCAGGCCTCTCGTATATTACACTAGCTTTCCTGACACCACAAGACTTCATAAAAGCACTGGGGGACAAGTATAATGTAGATGTAGTATACACACACTTTGCAAAAGCCTTCTGCAAGTGTGACCATGGTGCAGTAGTGCACAGAATGTGTGATCAAGGAATAACAGGAAAAGTTGGTAGATAGATCTATAACTTCCTAACAAATAGAACACAGAGTAAAGATTGAGGCGGCTGCTATGAAAAGCTCAGGTCCACAAGGCACAGTACTCGCCCCCATCCTGTTCCTTATCCTCATATCTGACATGGACAGAGACGTAAGCCACAGCACTGTGTCTTCTTTTGCAGATGACACCCGAATTTGCATGATTGTGTTATCCATTGAGGACACTGCATGCCTCCAAGTGACCATCAACTAAATCTTTGAATTGGCTGCGGAAAACATGAAGCGCAATGAAAAGATTTTTCAGTTGCTCTGATATGGGAAAACTCGAGGAAATTAACTGTATCGGAGTATAAAACAAATTCCAATCACACAGTAGAGTGAAAAGCTTATGTGAAGGACCTGGGAGTGATAATGTCAGCAGATCTCAGTTTCAAAGATTACAACAATGTATCTAACACATCTGCTAGGAAAATGATAGAATGGATAATGAGAAACTTCAAAATTAGGGATGCCAAGCCCATGATATCACTCTCTCTTTAAATCGCTTGTTCTCTCTAGGCTTAGAATATTGCTGTACACTAACGGGCCCCCTTCAAGGCAGGCGAAATTGCAGATCTGGAGAATGTACAGAGAACTTTCATGGCACACAAAAGTATGATAAAGCATCTAAATTACTGGGAATGATTGAAATCTTTTGATTTGTATTCCCTAGAATGCAGATGAGAATGACACATGATAATGTACACTTGGAAAATCCTAGAGGGGCTAGTCTCAAATTTGCACATGAAAATCACTCCCTCTGAAAGCAAAAGACTCGGTAGGAGATGCAGCGTCCCTCCAATGAAAAGCAATGGTGCCACTGGTAAGTTAAGAAACAACACAGTAAGTGTCAGGGGTCCAAGACTGTGCAGCTGTCTCCCAGCATACATAAGGGTGATTACAAATAAACTCTGGCTGTCTTCAAGAAGGCACTGGACAGGCACCTCAGGTCAGTACCTGATCAGCCGGACTGTGGTTCTTATGTCAGATTGCATGCGGCTAGCAGCAATAGCTTCACTGATCAGGCCCTGATCCACCGAGAAGCCTGGTTACAGACTGGGCCATAGGGATGTTGATCCCTGGAACCCTCTACAAGTAAACTTGGGGTATACCTTTAGAGGGTTTCAGGGGTCAGTGGTACTGTGACCAGGCTTCATGGTAGATCAGGGCCTTATCAGCCAGGCCATTACTGTTGGCAGCATGTAAACCAGCGTACGAACCACAGCCCGGCTGATCAGCCACTGACTTTGGGTGCCTGTCCAGCGCCTTCTTGAAGACAGCCAGGGGTCTATTGGTAATCCCCCTTTTGTATACTGGGAGGCAGTTGAACAGTCTTCGTTCCCTGACACTTTCTGTGCTGTCTGTTATGCTAGTGGCACCCCTTCTTTTCATTGGGGGGGATGTTGCATTGCCTGCTGAGTCTTTTGCTTTCATAGATCGTGATTTTCCTGTGCAAATTTGGTACTAATCCCTCTAGGATTTTCCAAGTGTATATAATCAGATATCTCTTCTGGCTGCATTCCAGGAAATATAAGTCCAAGAACTTCAACTGCTTCCAGTAATTGAGGTGTTTTATCATACTTACGTGTGCCTTGAAGGTTCTCCGTACATAGGTCAGCAATTTCACCTGCCTTGAAAGGCGCTATTAGTGTGCAGCAATATTTGATCTGCAGTCCTTAGCTATTGCTTTACTGCCCCCTTTGTGGAGTGGGGTTGTATCTGTTGTTTTTAGAGTAAGGGAATGACTCCTGTGTCCATGTTCCCACTATAGAATGCTAAACAGCATGTGGTAGGGGCTTCTTGCAGTTCTTGATGAACATGGAGTTCCAGGTTTCTGAGCCTGGGGCAGTGTGTGTGGGCATGTTGTTTATCACCTTTTTGAAGTCATATGGTAAGATAAGATAAGATTTCATTCGGATTTTTAACCCCTGAGGATTAGCCACCCAGGATAACCCAAGAAAGTCAGTGCGTCATCGAGGACTGTCTAACTTATTTCCATTGGGGTCCTTAATCTTGTCCCCCAGGATGCGACCCACACCAGTCGACTAACACCCAGGTACCTATTTGCTGCTAGGTGAACAGGACAACAGGTGTAAGGAAACGTGTCGAAATGTTTCCACCCGCCGGGAATCGAACCCGGGCCCTCCGTGTGTGAAGCGGGAGCTTTAGCCACCAGGCCACCGGGCCTGAGTCTCGTTCATAAAAAATTCATTTAGGTGTTCGACTCTTATTGTGGTTAGGTGCTCGCTAAAAGCTGAGTCATACTGGAACTTGAGTAACACTCTCATTTCCTTGCTGTCATCTGTGTAAGACCATTCTTGTCTAAGTAGGGACCCAATACTGGATGTTCTAGACTTCAATTTGGCATAAAAAACAAATATTGTTGGTTTCTTTCAATTTCATTTATGGCTTTTAGTTTTTCCTGCATTTCTTGTCTCGTGTAAGATTCCTTTAGCTTAAGGTGTACACAAAAATAGAAATTTACTCTATTTCTCAGATAATAAAATATGACCAGGAAAGACTGGCAATTTACAGCATCCCAGTAACTGAATCAGACCTATTAACCCTTTGACTGTCGAAAGGCCCAATCCTGAAGTGTCTCTGGTGTCGCAAAATATTCGAAAAAAAAAAAAATTTTCATATGAAAATGTTAAGATTATTTTTCTGATTGTTTTAGTCCCCCCAAAAAAATTTTCCCATCAGTACTTACCGAGATATAGTCCTGAAGTTTGCTGAAATTGATCTGTGAGCGGCAACAGCGGCGACTGCCGCTCACCCGGTAAACTTTGATTTACTTGTATTCGATGGTTTCTTGTTTTTTTTCACTATTTTATTTTTTCACATAACTTTTGTGGCCTGTGAGACCAAATTATTGTGCAATGTTCAAATATACACTCGTTGAATGTAACACAATTATAGCAAAAACACTCGTATCATTATAATGTTGCTAAAACTTGTTTACACAAACAAACAATGTAAACAAATGTTTATTACGATTCTTTTATAATACGTATATATACATATGTACAATCACTGGACACTTTTCTAGAAGTGCTGCAGCTTGTGGAATTCTTTGAAACATGGGTATAAGCACAATGGTGTCTTACACTCCTCACACATAAAACGAGTGCTCTGCATTTTTGTGGGTGTTTTGTGGTATGTCCACAGACAAAACACCTCTTCTGAGCATTTTACTTGGCAGTAGTAGCAGGCAGTGGTATGGGGTAGTGATCACCAGGCCTCAGACGAGAGGACATGTGTTGATAATTTCGTGGGTGCTGGCCTGTTGCAGGTGTTGTTTCTTGGTACTTGAATATTATTTGTCTGATGACTGACAAACAAAATTCACCATATTTGGGTTTCTTCTTGGTCTTCAACTTATACATATTTTAAGCATTCAGCATGGAAATGTCAAGAAGATGGAAAAACAGTTTTATGTACCACTTATAACTCTTGCGAACACAGTCAGCAAACCCAATCTGCATGTCACATTTGTCCACTAAGCGCATATTGAGGTTGTAATCCATCACAGCTGCAGGTTTTACAATGGGTTCATTGGTCTCTCTATTCTGCTTGCCAGTGTCTACCATTTCGTGTCGGTGAACTGATGTCAGCAGTGTGACATCACGTTTGTCATGCCACCGAAATGCCATGATGTCATTGGCAGCAAACACCTGCACTTCACCTCTACGACTGCCAGCATCGAACCTAGGCATATGTTTACGATTTCTACGCACTGTGCCACACACGTCTGTCATGTTCACTCGCAAGAAATCACTGAGTATAGGCTTGTGTACCAGTTGTCAGTATATAAAAATGCCCCTTACCAAGATATGGCTCCATCATTGTTCTAACCACATCACCAGAGATACCCAGTAACTTCCTGGTATCTTCCATTGTTTTACTGCCAGTGTACACAATTATATCCAAAACCAGACCAGTTTTGCAATCACACAGAACAAATAACTTTATACCAAAGCGTTTCCTCTTGCTTGGTATATACTGCTTGAATGAGAGTCTTCCTTTGAACAAAATCAAAGACTCGTCAATAACAAGCTTCCTGAGGGGATAAAAATACATACAGCACTTTTGTTTCAGGTACATAAACACACGTCTGATCTTATATAACCTGTCGCTTCTGTCAGGCCTGGTTTTGTCTGTAACAGTAACACAAATCTATTCACTGGTATAATGTCACTGAAAGCAGGGGTTGAAATCAGGCGGTCTGTCGCCCAGTATGTGTTGACACTATGCTTATATAC